ACTCATATGCATACTTAAACATTGATAGATGTATACACTAGTTCCAGTCTTTTATTTAGCATCTCAAACTTGCTAAAGTCAACCCAGATGTTATGGACATTTGGTCTAGACACCCTCTCCAAACTATTCAACACCTGATTGGATTATCTTCAAGGATCACAATAGTAAAAGGAACCCTTCATCAGAGACCAGGACCCAAGTTCTTAAAAGTTGGAAACCAAAAGACTTCTCTTGTTATTATTCAATGGCTTGTCACTTTCATATCAATAATTTGATTATATACCTTAGAAAACTTCTTCTTGATCATCCTCATTTCTGAATTCTTTTCTTCCAAACACACTTATATGTGCCAACATGAGTGGACTTGAGAAATTTCTTAGTATCTTTGGCTACAATACAAGTGATGTAGAGAACTTCCCAATTCCATAAAACACGAAGTTGATAATTTCTGAGTGACAAAAATCTAACTCAAACTCTCCCATTCTATCTCTTCAGTACCAGAATTCTCCTATTTTTGATAATTCTTCAAGATCTGTTGTCCATAGATAACCAGAATAAAATAATTCCAACCTTCCAAAAGAACATAGTACCAGAAAAATACTCCCTGAAGATCACCCAATAGACCAGGGTGCCTGTCTGATACCAATTGAGACCTATGATACATGCAAAACATGTTAATACTGATATCCCAACATCAAAACAATGTCACAACAGATGTTACAACATCCTATTTGACATCCTGAAAAGATTTATTAAGATTCAAGCGATACTGAAATTAAATTGTAGAATGATAAATAACACAGAAAGTTGTTAACCCAGTTCGATGGAACTCACCTACTCTTGGTGCTACCAAGCCAGAAAGGAAGTCAACTATTAGTAGTACTAGTTCAAAGCCTAAACAGACGCAGTTTATAGCTTCTCTCCTAATCCCTACCCAATGCAACTTCTACCTAGGAACCTCCTAGATATGAGAAATTTCCATCTCACTCCCTAAATCACCTCAGTGATATCCAACAGTCCCAATCTCAATGACTGTATCAAAAAAGAACTCAATAAGAAGATTACACTTCCAATACAAATACTTAGTTAAGACTCTTAACTAAGAATAATACTTGGTATTACTTAAAATCTTCAACCAAGAACAATACTCAACTCATTACCTAAAGGCTTATGAGTGAGAATACTATGTCTACCACAGTGTATCAAAAGATACAAAGGGTGACTTACACCATACAATACATGAGAGACTCTCAAAACCTAAGACTATTTTTCTTCTCCTAATTTTACAATTGTGAAAAGTATAAATTATATTAGGTTAAAATTCCCCTTTAAGTACACATATGTAGTCCATGGGCTTCGAAATCTGCATCTTGATATTTTTTGATACATAAGTTGAGTGATGCACCAATTGTGCAGCAAAATCTCCTTAAATCTTGGAATAAATAATATAAAGTTTCCTAAATTGTCTCAAGACCCAATTTAGTAACTAATGTACAACTGAAGATATAAAACTTGTTCCAGATTAAATCTTCTTGACCTGCGAAATTTATTGAGATATATCTAAAAGAAATATCACAGAATCAAATCAAATCTGTCAAAATTTAAAACAGCAACACCTGTTGTATCCGACCAAGATGTCATGATATCTACTTCGACATCTGGCTGAAAAACTCATAACATCAAATCTTTTATGACAGTTGATAAAAATGTTGTAATATCTTGATTAACATCAGTATAGAACCATATTTTAGCAAAATTATGCCAATCCTAAAACCATGGAACTAACACTCTCCTCCTTTGAATTAGCCTCCACCAGCCAGCACAATTAAGCTCTTTATAGAAAGCCACCAGCTGGTTTTTCAAATATAAATCCTCTAGGAAGAAGTCTTCTTCCTTGTAGGTATACAAACTACCCCTACCAAATAGTGACATTGAGCTAATAGTTATGGAAGATATCTGAACAAGAAACAAGAGGATCGTGTTCCAAGCAACAGATCTTTGTAGTGCCTCCTCGATCAAAGGAGTAACCAGGTAAAATGATCGTCGAAATCTTTCATGCTTTGAGAATAAACTTCAAAGTATCAAATATGCTACCTCCAAAAGAGAAAACTTAAGTTATTTACGTAATTAAGGTTGTTTTGAATCTTGAAAAGACAAAAGAACATCGTCACAATCAACTTACCTCATTTATATTCACACAAGTAATGAAAGACCTTAAAGAATGCCAAACTCACTTGGTGCAACTATGAAGGAGCAATCAACAAATGATTTAACACACAGACTTCGAGTCCATTAAAAGGAAGATGATAGCCGGTGATGGAGAACAAACATTCATAGAAAGGGATAGTGTATCTACCACATCAGTTGTAAATTCTCTTATCTTAATCTATGGGAAACACCATTCAATCATTCAAACGACTAACTTATGTCACAACTCGGTCAAAAAAATATTTGCAAACAAAATCGGAGGCAATCCCTAGTATACTAGGATCTACTTAATTGCTTGAGATATCCTTACATGCTTTGTTGGTTGAAGTTGATATTATCAGCATAATAAAAAATATATATTGTTAACATAACTAATGCAAGTACAATAAACAATGAACAAATTGTTGAGGGGAGATACTAGGAGCATTGATACATAATGTAGGAATAAGAACATTTGTGAGAGGCACACCACTTATCCACCTAAAACCTTAAGGTGATAGGTGAGTGAGTTCTCCCACTTATATATACTTAAGTATTCACATTCCTATTCAATGTGGAACTATTTCCCCACTTACTCACAATTGCTATATTATTCCAACACTCCCCTCAAGTGTGAGTCCACAATGCTCTCCCACTTGTATCGTCGTTGACATCTTACAACAGAACACCACTTCCTAGACGCATTTCGATATGAGTCTCTTCTGGTCCCTTTCTCAAACCAAAGGCTCTGATACCACTGTTGGTGCAAGGTAATGAAATGGGAGAAGAAGAATGAACAAAAAATAATAACAAGAAGACTATTGTTGTATATCAAAGTAGAGGAGATAAAGTAGGGTACAATGTTGATAGCCTAGGATAACATATTTATACTAAATATTGAAAATGCCAAAAGGCCCTATTAAAGGATAAGCATTGGGAATTATAGAAATTAACTAAATTATCTTTCCAATATCATCCCTTAATTTAGATTTTCTATCAGAAGCTAACAACACTAATTTCATCTCTCAAGCGAAGAAACCGGTCTATCTTAACTGCCTTCGTCAGAAGATCTGTTAGTTGTTTCTGGATGTTGCAGTGTAGAACTTCTAACACTCCTTTCTGCACTTGACTTTTGAGAAAATGATACTTCGTCTCTATGTGCTTGCTTTTTCCATGTAACACTGGATTCTTTGCGAGATCAATTGCGGACTTATTATCAATCATCAATTTCAGAGGTTCCTTAACTCCAACATTCAGATCATGCAAGAGATTCAGAAGCCAAACAGCTTGACAAGCAGCTACAGCACCTGCGATATACTTAGCTTCACACGTTGACAGGGCCACGACAAGCTATTTCTTGGAACTCCAAGAAATGGGACCTCCCAGAAATTTAAACAAGTATCCAGAAGTACTTGATAGGTGGGTGAGTTCTCCCACTTATATATGCTTAAGTCTTCACATTCCTATTCAACGTGAGACTATTTCCCCACTTACTCACACTTGCTATATTATTCTTGTTGGAATAATATAGCAAGTGTGAGTAAGTGGGAAAATAGTCCCACATTGGATAGGAATGTGGAGACTTAAGCATATATAAGTGGGAGAACCCACTCACCTATCACCTTAAGATTTTAGATGGAGAAGTGGTGTGTCTCTCTCAAAGGTGCTTGTTCCTACACTATGCATCAATGCTCCTAATAATCTCCTCCAACATGGTATCATGAGTCTTTGGTTCGAGAAAGGGACCGGAAGGAATTTGTATCGAAATTCGCCCAAGAAGTGGTGCGGTACAAGTGGAGGAGCATTATGGACTCACACTTGAGGGAGAGTGTTGAAATAATATAGCAAGTGTGAGTAAGTATATATAAGTGGGAGAACCCACTCACCTATTACCTTAAGGTTTTAGATGGAGAAATGGTGTGTCTCTCTCAAAGGTGTTTATTCATACACTATATATCAATGCTCCTAATAATCTCCCCCCAAACACAAATTTGAGTGACCTCTACCGTGGGAGCCCTAATGAGGAAAGGCGAGAATAAAGAAGTGTAAACATCAAATTTAGAAAAAAAGATCAACCTAATATTCAAAACTAATGTCAACAAACAAAATCGTTGAATTTGATTCAACACCGAAACAAAAACTCCTAGAAAAGAACGACAAAGGAGGGAAAAAACTCTCTTAACCAAAAACTTATAACAAAGGCAAAAGAACACTTCAAAAATAATCCTTTATACATCATTCAAATACCAAAAATAATTAGATGTATGAAGGTAAAAAAAAACATTAGTACAGTTTTAAAATTGAAGAAAAATTGTTAAAAAGTAAAAAAGAAAAAGTTCGAAAGGGTATTTGTATTAAGAGGGATTAATTAATTTTAAAAATCTGGCTAACTGAAATAGTACGCCATTTTATTTGGGCAAATGTGAGTGTGGTGCACGGCTTTGCATGCATAATACATTAATTAATTAATTAAATCTAATTAATCAAAAAGCAAGCACATCATGAAGATTCTAAAGAACAAAGTGAAAAAAGAAAAAAGAATAAAGAAAAATCTAAAAAGAAAGAAAAGTATCGTGCATTCCAACCTCGGAATGCATTCACAATTTATCATCCTTCAAAGCTGCGAATTATTTACGACTTTTTCATTAAAGTTTGAACTTCAACACACTTTAATTTCTTTACAGTTATGGGTTTTGTCGCCCCTTTTTTCCACTTTTCTTTCTCTACTCCCACTCTTTCCATTTCAATTCAATCTTTCTCTCTCATTCACTTTCTCCTACTAAACCCACCTGAATAACAATTTTTCTCTCCCAATGGGTTATCTTTTTTGCAATGCAGAGTCTGCAATTGCTACCTGCGATCCACACTATTGGGATCTCAAAAAAAGAAACAAATCAATAACTAAAAATCGTACCCACCACGCTATCAAGGAGTTTCTCTACGCCGACCTCGTCGCCGCCACTAACGGTTTCTCCGATGGTAGCTACTTAGGTAAAGGCAGCCACGGGAGAGTTTACAGAGCAACGTTAAACGGCGGCAACGGCAACGGAAACGGCAACGGCAGACTAGTTGTTGCCGTTAAAACAACAAAGCAAACTACGAAGATTACACATAACCATGCCGTTAACTGCACCGGTTGCGGTAACTGTACGAGTCCTGCTGAGAACGAGATCGAGATTCTTTCTCAAGTTCCGAGTCGTCGTCTCGTGAATCTTATCGGTTACTGCACTGATCCAAACGGCAATAAATTAATTGTCGTTGAATACATGCCAAACGGTTCGCTTCATGATTTATTACATTCTACATCTAAACCACCCGGTTGGACCAGACGTATCCGGTTCGCATTACATGTTGCGAAAGCGGTACGGACGTTGCACGGTTCGAACCCTCCGGTGATCCACCGTGACATTAAATCCTCCAACGTTTTAATCGACCAGGATTGGAAAGCGAGACTCGGTGACTTCGGGCTTGCACTGAGAGGACACGTGGAGGACGTTCGCGTTAAGTGTACGCCACCGGCTGGTACGTTAGGGTATCTCGATCCATGCTATCTCTCGCCGGGGGATCTTAGTGCGAAGAGTGATGTATTCAGTTTCGGGATCTTGTTGTTGGAGATAATCAGTGGAAGGAACGCTATTGATGTTAATTATAGTCCTCCATCGGTTGTTGACTGGGCGGTGCCGCTGATTAGAAGAGGCGACTTTGCCGGAATCTGTGACCGCAGAATAGGAACACCTTCGGATTTGTCGGTGATGCGGCAGATTGCCGTGCTTGCTGCGAGATGTGTTAGATCGACGGCGGAGAAGCGGCCGGAGATGGTGGAGGTTGTGGAGTGTCTTAAACTGGCGGGGAAGAAGATTCATACTTCGCCGATTTGGAATAGTTTCAGGTGGCGCGTGACGCGAGTGGAGAGTGCGCAACCGTTGATGAAGTGTGACGTGTATGATTATGATTATGATTATGATTATGATTATCATAATGATTGTAATGATTGGGATAATAAGAATGATGAGGTTGTTGTGAAAATCGTAAAGAGTGGGTGTGGGAGCAGCAGAAGGAAGAGTAAAGTATCGAGTGTAGCGAGTGCAGAGTCTGTTACTAAACATTCCAAGAAAATGGCGAGATCTAAGCCGTCGAAGAAAGTAACTAGATCTAAAACCGTTGGATCTTCTTCTAGTTGTGTTAGTAGCTGTAGTAGGAAAAGTGGGATTCAAATTCAAATGGTTTCAGAGAAAACGCGTGCAATGAAGCTGAAAAAGTCAAAGTCAACGGGGATGTTGCAAGATCCTTATTTGGATGAGACTGAGAGGTTAGCATTAACCGTGTCAAAGTTAGTTATTAGAGATATTAAGAAGTTAGAAAAGTTGGAAAAGAAGATGCTTGAAAAACCGTTGGTTTATTCACATAGTTGGGAGTCTGAGTAGCTTCTGCAAAACAGAGAATCATTTTTTTTACCACAACATAATATCTTCAGGAAGAATGAAAGTATTTATTGTTTATTTAATGATAATAATTTTTCATATTTTGAAACGAATAGCGACAGATAAGTTAGTAGTTATAGTAGTTATTGTATTGATATATAGTTTGTCGAGGCTTGAAAATGCAAGTACATTTGTCTTCTCAGAAAATGCCGGAAGGAACTAGACCATCGTTTTGCATATGGACACTTTAGTTTCTTGCCGATTAGGCCAAAATTTTGTATATGGACATTACTATTAGTCACTTTCTTGTCGTTCTATACTTTTTCAATATTAGTCAATGTTAAGGGTAGGAATCTACATCACCCAACCTGACTCAATACATGTTTTAATTAAAGTTATCTTTGATTTTGTATTTATGATACTTTGATTTGTAGGTTTTTTGTTTTTATGCTTTAATGTTCATTGTTGGTAATTTAATTTGCATAAATTGTCAGAATTTGTTTACTTTAAGAACGTGTTAGAAATTTTAAAATGGCTCGATCCAAATTTATGATAGAGTTAGAGTTGGTTATAACTCTTCCTAACTTGTCCTTTGTTTATATTGTTACTTAAGTGTGTTAATTAAGATAGTTTTTCTCTTCTCCTAATTTAGTTTAATTGGGATTATTCTTTTTCTTCTTCTTTAGTGCCCTTCATCATCTTTAGCTAGAGTTCTTTTTTTTTTCAAAGAAGAATATGTATATTCTTCCTTTAGATAACACTAAAGTTGTATTTCTCCTTTTTGTAATTATTGTATCCTAATTTGTGTTTTTAAGATTTCTCTATCATCTCATATCAATTCAACCATATCAAGATTACAATTGGATTTGGTTCTTCTTCATATCTTTAGATTTGTTCATGAGGAATCACCAAACACCTTGATTTGTATATTGTGGCCATATTTGATTTGTGTTGATTAACTTTCAACTAACAAATACAATGAATATTTGTTCTAATTAATGATCCTATAGGTGAAGGTGTTGCAACTGGTTTTTAAATCAGAGTCGTCACCCTTAATTTTTATCTTAAAGGAAGGGAGTATAAAGGAATAACCCTAAAGTTCAGAGGTTTTAGATTTGGACTCGGTTCTAGACGAGGGGAAGGTGTTAGGCACCACTTATCTATCTTGTTCACAAGGATACTAGGTTTAGAAGCACGATGTTTTAGGAAATATGATTTTTATTATTAATATGGGAAAAAGGGGTTTGAATTTTAGTTAAAGGGACTCGCCACGATTTTAATCATATGCCTACGTATCCTCTTAGGAGGAACCAGAGTCCCATTTCGTAGTTCGCAAAGTTTGGTTTGTGTTTTTTTTATGGATTGCGTAGAATTGCTTTCGAATTAACCTTGAACATTGTCTGGGTTGTAAACTGAGTGATTGTAGACGCAATTCGTAGTTTGATTCGAAGACAATGCTATTTAATCCTTTTTGAAAATGTTCTTGAATTTGATTATGTTAGTTGGAAAAAATGCTTGATCGTTTGTTAGCTGTTTTGAGACGTAGAGCGGGAGAGTATGATATAATCTCCTTATTACGTTGTCAGATAATGGCCACGTGTTGCTCGCAGATAGCGATTTTGATGAGTTTGCGTGAATTTTAATATTTTTGATTTTAAATAATAATCTAGTAGACGATATCTCGACCGATTTAATTACTCGAAGATGGATATCCTATTATTTATAGAATGTTTGAATTAATTTAATTTGATTGTTATATTTTTTTAATATATTATATAATATGAAAAAAATAATTTTTTATTGCATGAGAAAAAATATTTTTAACTCAATTAAAGTAATAAAAAAAATTATAGATTTAGAGAATTTGAATTAAAAAAGTGTTCTGTACTGGGCCGGGTTGGCCCAAAAGCAGTGTTGAAGGCCCAATCCAAACGGTCTTACAAAGGGTCACGCCGACCAAAAGGCATACCCTTGCCCGGCACTTTCTGCTAGTACGACGTCCTCGACTCCACGCAATCCTGCTCGACCTCAGCTCGAGCACCCCTCCTAGGGCAGACTCTATCAACTACACCATCACCTGGATTTCGAAAAGACCGTGTCTTCGTCCATCCGTGCTTCACGCAGAACATCCAGGAAGGGGGTCACGTGCGGGTCCCCACTACGCACGTAGAACCTGGCAGTTCCTCCGTTGGGCCAAACCTGCCTGGCCCAATGAAGGAACCTTGGCCCAGCGCTGAGGGCTATAAATACCCTCTGTTCCCAGAGGGTCAGGTATTCATTCTTTTACCCATACTCATATTATTGCCTGCTCGTGCTCTTACTTACTTCAGCATCGGAGTGCCTTGCAGGTACCCCCTCCACCTCGTTCAAAACTTCAGCTCGGAGTCAGCCGTGACGGTCCAAGTCTGATCAGGTTAGATCAGTGGCGCAGTCTGTGGGAAACTAGCTTCCTCGTCTTGCAAAACTCAAAGACCAAAGCTCAAATTCAACTACCGCTGTCATGGCTGATCAAGCTCACGATGAGCAGAACGTCCGCGTCGTTGACACTAACAACGGCACCGCAGACAAAAACGGACACCTTGATAACACCGGCAACCCCGGCCACAACACCATTCCTACGACAACTGCCCTCGGACCTTCCACCTACCGTGACGGAGCTACTGCTTTATCTTCCTCGGTCCCTCCGCCACTCGAAGACGACCCGGCAGGCCTCGCAAGCTACAAGGCTGCCCGGTTCCAGGAAGTCCCCGTCCCCGCCGGGGCGGATGCCACCACTCAAGCGTTGTTCGCAGCGTTTAATCAAACGAACTATCTCATCTTCGCCCAAGGGGAGAGACTAAGGGCGCTAGAAGACGATCGAAGACCCCCGACCAAAGGGGAAACTGCCTCATTTGGAGAGGCAGCCCATCATCCAAGTCGGAGAACCCAGTCGCGACCCGGCGAGACAAGAAAGAAGGCACTCCAGAGACGGGCGTGTAAAGTTCGACCACCGAGTATCCCGCTCGAGAGAGACTCAGCACGACCTGGACCGTCGTGCCAGACAGTATTACAGGTCCCCATCTCTGTCTCCGGAGAGAAGCGACGAGGACGACCCCCGCGGTCCCCTGTCGCAAGCTATTATGGAAGCACCCATCCCCCCGGGCATGGAGAAGCCCCCACACTTGAAGGAGTACGATGGAGTCGCGGACCCGGTCGACCACATAGACGGGTTCGAGGCTATGCTGCATTACCACAACATCGGGAGGCCCATCAAATGCCGACTATTCCCCACGACTCTCAGGAAGGCGACCATGGACTGGTACAAAGGACTCGCCCCGGGCTCAATCACCTCGTGGCGAAACCTGAAGAATCAGTTCATCAGTTCATTCACAGCTTCTCGGCGACATCCGAAGACCGAGGCGGCCCTCGAGGCCATCATCCAGCGACAGGATGAGACCTTGAGGGAGTTCATCAATCGCTTCAACCGGGAAGCTATACAGGTCCCCTGTGCGGACCATATGAAGAGATATCTGCTGGAGAGGGGGCTCCTCCCCGGCACGGAATTCAGAAAGGCCGTGGGTATCGAGCCACCTCGGAAATTCGACTCCCTCCTCGAAAAAGCTCGGGCATACATGGACTATGAGGAGAGGGAAGCGGCCAACAGAGCCCGAGATCCCAGAACTCGCGGGCCCAACAGCAGCTCGCGCCAAGAAGCTCCTCCTCAACGAACCGGGGAGAAAAGGAAAGAAGACAGACCCCGGGAAGTCCGGGAACAAAGAGGACCTTCGGGGCGTTTCACCGAGTACACTCTGCTCACAGCTTCCCGCGAGCGCATTTTAGCGGAGTGTGCCAGCACTGATTTAAAGGACGGCGGTGTCAAACGTCCCCGACCTGCTCCCGCCAAGCCCGGAGCAGACAAGAACAAGTATTGTCAGTACCATAGGAGCCATGGTCATCTGACTGAGGATTGCGTCCACCTCAAGGACGCCATCGAAACCCTCATCAAGGGAGGGAGGCTCGCGCAGTATCGGCTAAGCGACACTCCCCGTCGTGACGCCCAAGAAACTAGGGAGCCGGAAGAGGATGCCCGACCATCTGACGAGTCGGTCCCCATCCAGACCGCCTTCTCCGTGACCAGGCCCGAGGACTTAGACTTCCCCGAGCACCTGCAGGAGCCGCTCACAATGCACAGCAGGTGGGAATATTTCCCCTCCGCCCTGGTCATCAACGGCGGCGGGTTCAACGACTTGACCATCAATTCAGCCAAGAGGAAGTTAGACGAGCTGGTCGACGCGGCTCCCCCGCAAACAGTGACGTTCAAAAGGGTGAAGGGAAGGTCAGAGCCCATCACCTTCTACATAGAAGAGCTCCCGGCGGAGCCCCGAACGCGGTCATCCCCTTACTGATAAGGGCCAGAATGGCCAATTTTGATGTACATTGCATCCTCGTCGATGAAGGGAGTTCCGCGGCGTGATGTACAGCCATCTGTTCCGAACTCTACAGCTGGACGACTCACATCTCTCGCCGTATGTAGGGTCGGACTTACAAGGTTTCAACGGCTCGACCTCCAAACCTTGGGGATATGTCGAGCTTATGGTTACGTTCGGCGAAGGGACGGCTACAAGACAAGTAAAAGTACGCTTCCTCGTCATCGACTGCCCATCTCTGTACAACTGCATCTTGGGGAGACCAACACTGGCAGAACTGACAACGGTGCCCTCGACCGTCCACCTGAAGATGAAGTTCTACACCAAGAGGGCACGGGTAGCCACTATCCAACGAGACCTAGCCGCTGCCCGTAGGTGTTTCAACGCCGCTTCTAAGGGACGCGATACTGTCGATATAGGGATCAGGCCCGCCAAAAGGACGCGACAGGAGCCCGACAAGCAAGAGTCCCCCAAGGAAGAAGTCCAGATAGCTCCACCAAAGGTCGACTCTATAGCTCTGGACACTCGTTTCGACCAGGACGAACCTCCCAGCGGCGAGCAAGTCCCACTCCGACCAATACCGGACGGGGATTTTGA